TATATATATATATATATATATATATATATATATATATATATATATATATATATATATATATATATATATATATATATATATATATATATATATATATATATATATATATATATATATATATATATATATAATATTATATTATATTCCTTAATATATAATATATGTGTATAATTTCAGATAAGTATTGTTTGCAAACTCTAAATAGCGAAATCCGAAGACCAAATTAAATCCCAGAGTGGATGAAAACATCCCCAACAACACACAAGGGTTAATATACAAACAATCTGTCATGCTTTTCTTTTCTCATGTGTCTGGATTTCTCTCAGCTGAAGTAACTAACGTGATGTATGTGACCACCTTCCTGCGTTATATAAGGTAAGTAATAACCACTTGTTTTTTAAAATAGTAAAAACTCTTTAAATAGTTCTTTTTGAGTCCTAGCAGCATAGGAAATGTCTTGTTTTTCTAATGATATTTCACTCTTCCAGGCTTGGTGGTAGATGTGTTTCTGCTCGTGTCCTTCAGAGGAGGAATCTCTCAGGAGCGGATGCCATTAATGCTCTGCGGCCCTTTTACTTTGCAGTGCACCCGGATTTCTTTGGCCAGCATCCGAGAGAGAGAGTAATACTAATAAAAAATTTGATATTGCTTTTATAACTTATTAATAGGAATTCCATAAAGTACATACATTACAGTACATGAGCCCCTGGTTTCACAAACAAGGTTTAAGGCTAGTCAAGATTAAATTACATGTTTGAGCTGTTTTAACTCAAAATCACTTGGGGTGAGATGTCTTAAAATACATCAGTGTCATTTTCTTGTCTCCAGGTGCACACCAGTAGTATATTATATAAGGTCATTTTTATAAATGTGGCTTAAATAGCCTAATTTAACCAAGGCTTAGTCCTGGCTTAATCTAAGCCCTGTTTGTGAAACTGGGCCATACAGTTTTATTGTTAGTGTTTGAATGATTTTTTTATATGTTAATATTAGTACTAGGTGACGAATAATTGCTATTAAATCTATCCAAAATAAATAAATAAATAAATGTTTTGCATTAATTATTTAATTAAATCAACGTATATTTGTATCATGTAGTTATCATCTAAATATAAATAACCATTTTCTCAAATATACAGTTGAAGTCAGAATTATTAGCCCTCCTGGATTATTAGTCCCCCTGTATATTTTCTTTAATTGAAAGAACATTTTTTTCAACACATTTCTAAACATAATAGTTTTAATTACTTATTTCTAATTACAGATTTTTTTCATTTCCATGTTGACAGTACATACAATTTTACTAGGTTAACTAGTAAAGTTAGGATAATTAGGCAAGTCAGTGTATAACAGTGGATTGTTGTGTAGACAATTGAGAAAAAAAAAATATTGCTTAACCAGTTAAACTCTTTTTTTTTTTTTTACTACTATAAACTTTTATTTAGAAAAGAAGAAATTTACAATATAAATCAGGAAGTAATCTGTAGAAGACTTGAATACAAAAATGTACAATTACAAAGTGATAAGAACAATAAGTAAAAAAAAGTTATAAAAAGAAAAAAAAAAGAGAACAAAATAAAGAAAGGGGAAATACAAAATTAAATTAAATAAAAAAAATACAGAAAGCATTAATTATTAACATAATGGAAGTATGATATTTTCATAAGTTTCATTAACTTGTTGAATTTTTTTAAATTTAATTAAATCAACGTATATTTGTATCATGTAGTTATCATCTAAATATAAATAACCATTTTCTCAAATATACAGTTGAAGTCAGAATTATTAGCCCTCCTGAATTATTAGTCCCCCTGTATATTTTCTTTAATTGAAAGAACATTTTTTTCAACACATTTCTAAACATAATAGTTTTAATTACTTATTTCTAATTACAGATTTTTTTCATTTCCATGTTGACAGTACATACAATTTTACTAGGTTAACTAGTAAAGTTAGGATAATTAGGCAAGTCAGTGTATAACAGTGGATTGTTGTGTAGACAATTGAGAAAAAAAATATATTGCTTAACCAGTTAAACTCTTTTTTTTTTTTTTTTTTTACTACTATAAACTTTTATTTAGAAAAGAAGAAATTTACAATATAAATCAGGAAGTAATCTGTAGAAGACTTGAATACAAAAATGTACAATTACAAAGTGATAAGAACAATAAGTAAAAAAAAGTTATAAAAAGAAAAAAAAAAGAGAACAAAATAAAGAAAGGGGAAATACAAAATTAAATTAAATAAAAAAAATACAGAAAGCATTAATTATTAACATAATGGAAGTATGATATTTTCATAAGTTTCATTAACTTGTTGAATTTTTTTAAATTTAATTAAATCAACTTATATTTGTATCATGTAGTTATCATCTAAATATAAATAACCATTTTCTCAAATATACAGTTGAAGTCAGAATTATTAGCCCTCCTGAATTATTAGTCCCCCTGTATATTTTCTTTAATTGAAAGAACATTTTTTTCAACACATTTCTAAACATAATAGTTTTAATTACTTATTTCTAATTACAGATTTTTTTCATTTCCATGTTGACAGTACATACAATTTTACTAGGTTAACTAGTAAAGTTAGGATAATTAGGCAAGTCAGTGTATAACAGTGGATTGTTGTGTAGACAATTGAGAAAAAAAATATATTGCTTAACCAGTTAAACTCTTTTTTTTTTTTTTTTTTACTACTATAAACTTTTATTTAGAAAAGAAGAAATTTACAATATAAATCAGGAAGTAATCTGTAGAAGACTTGAATACAAAAATGTACAATTACAAAGTGATAAGAACAATAAGTAAAAAAAAAGTTATAAAAAGAAAAAAAAAAGAGAACAAAATAAAGAAAGGGGAAATACAAAATTAAATTAAATAAAAAAAATACAGAAAGCATTAATTATTAACATAATGGAAGTATGATATTTTCATAAGTTTCATTAACTTGTTGAATTTTTTTTTGTTAGATAGACGTATAGCTTTAAGCAAGGAATCAGTTTTAATTAAAAAATGGCCAAATGAGGGAGAGGATTTAAGAAATGTTTGTTTGTGGATAAAGAACTTTGCATATAATATAAAAATGTATATAAATATTCTTAATTTTTTTTCTTGGGACTAGAATAATAACAAATAATTAAGGTGCTAATAATATTGCCCTTAAAATGGTTTAAAAAAATTTAATTGCTTTTATTCTAGCCGAAATAAAACATATCAGACTTTCTCCAGAAGAACAAATATTATCGGAAATGCTGTGAAAAATTCCTTGCTCTGTTAAACATCATTTGGGAATTGAAAACAATTAATAAATAAAATGTACAGGAGGGCTAATAATTGTGACTTTAATTGTATGCATGCTTTTGTGCATTTATTATATATATAAAAAATATACACAGTACACACACACACACACACATATATATATATATGTATATGTATATATATATTAATCTTTGCACGATTAAACTTCCTGCATAGAGTTTCGAGTGTTTTATGTTGTTTTGTTTGTGTTTTATAGGAGGTGAATGAAAACTCCCTCAAAAGGCTCAATGGTTATCTGGAAAACATTCAAAAGCCCGGCGAGAGATTTCCAAAACCTACAAACTTCACTTTTTATGTCAGGGACACAAAAGAAAAATCGGACCCCAATGGTAGTTTGCTAGTTTCAGGTAACGACAGTATTTTTATTTTCACTCTGTGCTTTTAGCTGCCAAGCTCCAAAGAAAATCAAATCCTCCTGAAACAATGCCAGTAATTTATATGTTGCAATTGTTTGTTTTCCATACAAAATTAAATAAATAAATAACAAAATTTTCTTCTTCTTTTTTTTTTTTGTATGGAAAACAAACGACTTTGCAGGAATCTTTTAAACTGATCAGGAGTGACGATTTTTTTTATAGGTTATAGGGCGTATAAATAATACGTATAGAAAAATACTATTTTAAAAATATATTTAATAAATTATTGTAAATATCTTTAAAGAAAAACTGTACAAAAGCACGCACATCCCTCTTAACTGGGTGCTCAGCCAAAAAATGCAAAAGGTGCAAATTAAATATTCATCAAAGGCGGCAACACCAAAGCTCCAAAAATACAAATTTATTCAATTAAAAAAGTTGACACAAAGCGTTTAATATTAAATAAAGGTATTTTTTGGAGCTTGGGTGTTGCCGCCTTTGATGAATATTTAAATATCTTTAAAGAAAAATGCACAAAAACATTAACATGTTCTATGGAAGTTCCTATCTTCAGTATAAAAGGTAAAATGTTTGTTGCTACTTTTTAGCTCACATTTCTTATGGCTCTTATCTTACAACTTGCACAAAATATATGAGCAATTCAGCATTATGGATGTGACATTTGCAGTAAAGACTCCAAACAAAAATTGGCATAGAAAGTATATGTTGACATTATATTGAAAATTTCGTTTATATTTTCCAGAACAACTGACCACAGAGTTATGGATCACAAAAATATCAATCTGTCAACATGTTTTGTGCTTTATATGAGGAAAATACACATACCTTATGGATGTGACAAAAAAAGTCTGCGGGTTTACAGTATACAACATACTTTGAAGAAATTCTGTAAACTAAACCGCACAGCCCAAAAGAAACAATATTAATCAAAAGGATAAGAGTCAGCTCTCTATAAAACAAAAATGATTGACTTTTATTTCATAATTTCACATTTATGGTGAAAAAGTGTCGTTATGGATGTGACATCTCTCCGTTATGAATGTGTCAGGTGTGAAATTGCCACCTGTGTGACTTTGGTAAATCAAATAGAACAGTTTGAAAGCATTGACAGATGCATTTTTAAGTATTTCTAAAGCACTGTAAAATACTTGCTTACAAAAAGCACCCAGAAGCTGTTTCTATAATTTGGTGAAAGCTTAATTTTTTTCTTGGCAAGGTTGACATTTGCACGGAATTGCTCATATTTATTTAATCTCCATAAAAGAAAAAAAAAAACTGAATTGTGGGACATTAATTAAGAGAATATCTCAGAGCTTTAAAATAAAATCAGGAAAAAGTCAGAAATTATTAAAAGTTTTAAAATGACTAATTCATCTCTCACCATTTGAGTCTATATTTTGCAATTCTGACGTTTTTATTTTTCTCAGATTTACAAGTTATAGGCCATTTTGAGGGAGGTAAACAATAACAGTGGTCCTAATGTATTTCCTGAATTACCTTTTTAATTTCCACAGCTCTCAACAATCCAAAAAGGTCCACATGTTGGTAAATAATTTTAGGGCAGCTGTTTTAACATTATGATATGATGAAATTGCCAACAAGCAGGAAATGTTCGTGAGCCAGTGACATTGCAAGAATTAAGAGTTAAACACTCTAATAAGGGAAAAATGATGAGATACAAACTTTTAGTTACCTTTTTTTTATGTGGCAGAATCACGTTTCCACAGTTTTCAACATGATTAATAGTAGGAAATGTTTTTGAGGATCAAATCAGCATACTAAAATTATTGAGCAGTCATGTGACACTGAAGACCGGAGTTCTTCTTAGCTATCAGGAATATATTGCTTTTTAAAAAATGAAATAGAAGAGAAAATTAGTTGTAATATTTCCAAAATATCAAAAAAATTTCATTTTCGTTTAATATTGCTCACCCTTAACCAGTGTTTCCCAAAGGTGGGGTCGCGGGACAATCACAGGGGGTCTCTTGGTAATTTCTAAAAGTCTAATAAATTTAAGAATTTATTAAAATAAAATTAGAATTACCATATTTTATCCATAACTAACAGAAAATAAAAATAGTACGTAATAGTTAGATAAAAAATAACAACAATCGGCCTTTCGATTTATTTTATATAGAAAGGGTGTGTATACATTAGATTAATAGTAAAGCAATAACATCAGCTGCAGCAGATTGATTTTATAGCACCAGATTAAACTTTCTGACACAATAATGGCAAAATAATACGTTAAAAATCAATACAGGCCACAACTGAACAATGAGGATGATCTCCAAGTGGCACTCTTCAAAATCAAACCAAGAATAGACTTGTGCTGAAAACATTGTGCCCACAAATCTCATTACGTGAGCTCGATGTTAAATGAAACAAATTAATAAATGACTAAAAATTATATGGTTGTTGGACTTTTTTCTGTTGTCAATATTCATGTTTATATAGGCCTAGTGTTGTGTGCACAACGTGTGGATATTTATAATCACCATAGAAGATAGTGGTGGTTGGAAGTCACTGGATATTTTGGGCGTCGCGGGTCGAAAAGTTTAGCAAGCCCTGCCCTAAACAGTAGTAGATATATTTTTTTATATTATTTTAATTGTAACAATTCTTATTTCCCCAGGTTTCCGGTCTGTGAGTTTCACTCTACAGTCTAAGGATGTTCTGAGCACAGTGCTGGATGTTCTGAGATCATGTAGTCTTTCGGTTGAGCATATGCAGGATGTGCTCAAGCACGAGACCACAAAGAGCTCGACACAACAGCCTGGAACAGCTTTCTATCGGCCCATCAAATGGGACAAGACGTATTATACTTTCACTGGATTCAGGGACCCAGAACAGGAGCTGGAGCAGGCCAGAAGAGTGGAGCCCACACTCAGGTATTCAGTGAGACAGCTTACCTCTTCACCAATTCACATAAAAATAAAAAACATGTCATGACCCTTTAAGTTACCATTACAATCGTAGCACTTTTTTTTCTGTTCTTGATTTTATTGCATTGCATTTTTAACTAATTGCAATTTTATTAAAAGGGAAAAAGAAAGAAATTACATTTAAATGAATGTAACCTATATGAGGCTAGCTTTAAAGCCTTTTGACCTTTTAACAAGATGTAAAATAAGTATTTTGTGTCTAGAGAATGTGTATGTTGAGTTTCAGGTCCAAATACCCATCTGGGGCCTCATGTACGAAGACTTGCGTGGAAATCTTACTAAAACATTGCGTACGCACAAAGCTGTAAATGTGCGTACGCATAAAAAATTCAGATGTATGAAACACTGCGTACGCCAAATCCCACGCATATTCTTTGTACATCCGAATGAACGTGAAACTAAGCGCAACATGCACGAGCACAAAACCCCTCCCTGCCTCCTCCCCCGTATGAATATGCTAATGACTCTACTTTGGCAAAACCAAAGGAAAAAGCTCTCCGTTTTCATCTGAAATATCTTCATTTGTGTTCTGAAGATGAAAATAACACAATTCATAAATTATATTAATAACGGAATATTCATTTTTGGGTGAATTAAACCTTGATCAACATATGCAAAAAAAATATCTCTGCATTATTTTCCATTGTTTTGACCACAGCAAGTATTTAAAAGCTAACTGCAAGTTCTTAATTAAGAGGATAGTTCATCCAAAAATGACTTTTTTTTTCTTTCTTTTTTTACTATTTACTCTCCCTTAAGTGTTTCGAAATCTGAGTTTCTTTCTTCTGTTGTAAACAAAAAAAAAATATTTTGAAGAAAGCTGAAACCGCTGGCATTGTAGGGAAAACCAAATACTATGGAAGTCAGTGATTACAGGTTTCCAGCTTTCTTCAAAATATCTTATTTTGTGTTTAACAAAAGTAAGAAACTAATAAAGGTTTGAAACAAGGGTGAGTAAATAATTACATCATTTTAATTCTGGGTGAACTATCTCTTTAATGTTTAATTGCAAGTTTGTACAATTGTTGAAGCTCTTTTATTGTCACACAAGAAACTTTCTCCAGTGCTTCTCCATAGAACACAGTCTCCTCAAGCCATTTGGTGTATTTACTATGAATAATGGTTTTGTGCTTTTTAGTACAAGAAGTAAAATGCACATTAAAACCCAGATGAGCCCAGGCTTAGCAGGAACCTTTCAGTGGGCCCCATAGCCTGACACTGAAGCTTTGGAAACATTGAGGTTGTGGAAATTCAGTAAAAAAAAAAGCTTGTCGCAGATATTTAACCCTACAGAGGCTGTAGTATATGGGCCTCTTCTGCTGTGAAATAACAATAAAATATAGTTATTGCTATTAATATTATTATTATTATATTTATTATTTTTATTTTTTATTTTTATTTATTTAAGTGCGGTTTTAGGTTTTAAAGTAAGTCCCTTTGGATAAAATCCTCTGCAAAAACAAATAAATATAAATGTAGAAAAAGTTTTAAATCATTAGGAATATCTTAAGATGAACATTTACTCCAATAAAGTTTATTTCGTTTCATTTTCCATGCAATTTTTAGGAAGCAGTATGAGAGCATATTGTGTGATGCACCAGGTTTTTGGAACATTTATTTGTGCATTTCCTGATGTTCTCTTGTTTCAGTTTTTTTTTTTTTTTTGATGACATTACACTATATGCTTTGCTTCCAGAATAAAACATTGGTTATTAGATAAATATCATATAGAGGTCAGATTTACTAATGCCCAAATCACACAGGGCATCAGTGGCAATGCTTGCCATTCACTTTAAGGTTGCCGAGCTGAAATGTAGATCTGTTGGCACCATGTCAGCAGCTTATTTATGCTCAGTTTGGACCGTTAAATAAAATTGTTTTTGTTTTTTTTACTTAAAGAACTAGATAATTAAAGATTTTTTCAACACATTTCTAAACATAATAGTTTTAATAACTCATTTCTAATAACTGATTTATTTTATCTTTGTCATGATGACAGTACAGAATATTTTACTGGATATTTTTCAAGACACTTCTATACAGCTTAAAGTGACATTCAAAGGCTTAACTAGGTTAATTAGGTAAACTAATCAGGTTAGGGTAATTGGGAAAGTTATCGTATATCGATGGTATGTTCTGTAGATTATCGAGAAAAAATAAGGGGCTAATAATTTTGACCTTAAAAAGGTTTTAAAAATTAAAAAACCTGCTTTTGTTCTAGTCGAAATAAAAAAAAAAGACTTTCTCCAGAAGAAAAAATATTATCAGACTTACTGAAAATTTCCTTGCTCTGTTAAAAATTTTTGGGAAAATAAAAATAATAATAATAATAAAGAGAGGGGGGGGGATGCTGGGTGTGGGGCTAATAATTCTGACTTCAACTGTATTTATATATATATATATATATATATATATATATATATATATATATATATATATATATATATATATATATATATATATATATATATATATATATATATATATATATATATATATATATATATATATATATATATATATATATATATATATATATATATATATATATATATATATATATATATATATATATATATATATATATATATATATATATATATATATATATATATATATATATATATATATATATATATATATATATATATATATATATATATATATATATATATATATATATATATATATATATATATATATATATATATATATATATATATATATATATATATATATATATATATATATATATATATATATATATATATATATATATAT